CAGTAGTTTTTCCTTATTTCAATAGTTGAAATCATGAGTCAATTGAAGTTAGACCACGATGAAAAATCTTGAAGCCGACTAGATGCCTTCTCAGCGGTCTAATGATTAAGCGCCCATGTGCCAGACTGATAGATCCTGGGTTCAAATCTCACAGGGAGCGGGATCGTGGATGAGCACTGTTGAGCAGTCCTGTAATGTCGATTATTATGTTAAGCCTATATACCTTATTTTAGCTTTCGGACAGCCCATTCTATTCATTCTACTCGAGTCACATTCTGACCTTGTTATTTATTCGCTTATCAATCTTGACTGTTTTCATATGAGCGCATAGGTGTGTGTACATTTCTTATCCCATTAACTTAATTTTGTGTAACTATAAACACTGATTAACGCTTGGTTAAATAGGAATTGGCTTACTAGCCATCTCCACTCCACATCGTTTCTCTTCTCTCTATTCCATTCGCTCCATGTACAAAATATATGTATTCACAAGTCCATTTTCGTTATTTGACTTATTTCATTCCGTTATCGCCTAACGCGATTAAAGTCGATGATTATATACGAGGATAGGTGACATATATATTTCAATAACAATCATTCATACAATCAAATAAGAGTCAGAACTCGGACCACTAAAATGGAGAACCTTTTCGACAACATCGTTCGCTCTAAACGACGATCAAAATAAAAGGGCTTCACAGTCTCATACTAAGACGAAACGGTCATCCAGTACTTCCAGGTTCTCCATGGTTGTCTAGCTTCAATCGACTCATGATTTCAACTATTGAAATTTCTAAAAATCTCCACAAAACCCCTTCCGATATTTTTTTGTTTCATGAAATGGATTTTAAACGGTGAATGAAATTATAAACTTTTCTTTTTTTCTCTTTTCTCTTTTTTCTTTCTTCCTATTTTGTTTTTGTTTTTTCAGTATAATATGATTATTTGAGTTTATAAAAAAATATGAATTTTGACATTTTATTTTCTCTTTGAAAATAGGTCATATTGAATGAATGACTGCTACTTAAAATGAAAGAATTAAGATGAAGAAAAAAGAGAGAAGAAGAAGAAGAAGAAGAAACCGGTTAAGAATATGATTGAATTAATTTAATTAATTTAAGCTGTGAAGTCTTATATATTTGGATAAAATACTTATCCAATGCTTTCACAGATTTTCTAAGGTAGTCTAGATGAAATCCAATCATCAATTTAATCTATTTCATTAGAAATTCTTATTTTGATATTAATTAAGTTTGTTTTAGATTTAGATACTACTTATTTAGTAGTTGATTGTATTACTATATATTATGAGTACTTAAGAAAGTTGGTAAGTTCATCGGATTTTAACTAAAAGTGTTAATAAACTAACTACACAAGTTATGGTGTTGTTTTTTTTGTTTGTTTTTTTGTTTTTCAAAGTGGTTGAAGAGTATTTGGACAAAACTCTAATCTAATCTAAAAGGTTGATAGATATAAATTCTAGTAACCGTTATGAATGAATGAATGAATGAATGAATAGCTATTTGTTTAACATATAAACTATATTATATTATAGACAATGATGAATAGTGGCTAGTAGTGGAATCCATGGACATGCGTTTTGTCCTATGTAGGACTCATCAGCTGGATGTATCTCAGAGTTGATGTTCACTGTGGGGCTTGAATATTAATACCGTTCGCTTCAAAAGCTTCACTATCTATCTTTGCTTAAAATACTTGTGAATTAAGGCAGTATCGAGGCAATCTGCATAGGATGTACATATACATATACTAGACTGATCAATTGCAGTTCTAAACATCAATGGGAAGTTTCAAGTAAACAATACCAAGTGAATGAATAATAATTATAATTATACAATAAAAATATATGTATAGTATTAGTCCATAAATGGATCCCCACAGTTACCATCCACTATTCTCGTCGGGATAATATATATATGAATATGGGAAAAAATAGTTATCCTTGAAATGAATGAATTTAATTTTTTTTAAATGCAAAAAAAATTCATCATTTTTACATTACGGACTAATTTTGATTAGATAACAACCAAAAACAAACTTCAAAGCTCAACAATCTATAAAACTCTCCTCTCCCTATTACCTTCAATGATCTCGCGGGGTGCGGGATCGTGGATGCGCACTGCTGAGGAGTCCCATACTAGGACGAAACGGCCGTCCAGTGCTTCCAGGTTTTCCATGGCGGTCTAGCTTCAACTGACTCATGATTTCAAACTGTGGAAATTTCTAAAATCTCCACAAACCCCCTCTGATAAAAAAAATATGTGCCGAAGACATTTGCAGCCTATTTAAACAATGTATGACAATGAACTCAAAAATGTGTCTTCTTATCATCATCATAATTAATTCTTATGTACTTTTGTTACCGTATATCTGACTCCTCTATTTGATCGTATGATTGATTGCCACTGAGATAAACATGTCGCTAATTCTCGTACATAATTATCGACTTAACTCAAGTTAGTAAATAACGGAATTAAAGTCTTGAATATGTGTATTTCATACAACCGTTGATCTGAACAAACAATCAAAGAAACGGAACTTAAAAAGCGACGAGAAAAAGGAGAATCAAAACAAAATGACACCCAATGGAGAAGGTAAGTGAACCAACTCAGTTTAACCAAGTGTGACTCAATATTTATAGTCAGACAATAATAAGTTACTGATATCTGATGAGTAAGTTAAAAAATGCACATACGCTTATGCAAAACAGTCAAAATTGATAAGCAAATAAGTAACAGGGTAAATGTAACTCAAGAAAACTGAATAGATTGATCTGTCCATAAACTAGAACAATGATGTGAACTTGACATATGGCCAGTCAGTACAGTACATTCAATTGAGAAACTCAGTCAAAAATAAAGAAGGAATGGATAAACAAAATGTTTTTTTTTTGAAACTCATCAATTATAAACCCTACTAATATACTGCCAACTGTCACGCTGTTTCCAAGTTCCATCTTAGATAATAATTACATATTGACTATAAGATTTCTGGGTTAAAATTTGTAGGATGGCGAGATTATAATTTATGGACGAACCAATCATGTATAAGATAATAGATCTCAGATTTTGGCTCGAAATTCAATAATCCATTTAGCTTGATAGAGTTTCGACATTATAGCCGATGTCAGCTAGTGATGAAAACCCTAGATATAATTCCTAACCGTCAATATTTTAAATCAAAATTCGAAGTCCTCACACAGATTTATAACCCTCATTTAGTCCTATTTATTATGTGAACAATATCAAGATCAGTCGAGCGTCCCTCAAAGGTCGTCCATAATTTCTATTCTCACCTATATGGTTTTTTTTATACAACAAACTTTAATTGTAACATTACTAATCACATAAACTGGAATTAACACTAAATATGTTGTAGTATAACAAGTGTTAACAAATGCAACGACTTTTGATAGAGTTTTGTTCTTTGAGCTGGATGGTTTTTAGTCGTGAAATTTTCATCGTTCTTCTGAACGGCATCATCAGCACAAACTTCAAGTAGAAGTGAAGTGTCAACAAGAACTAATCAATATCAAGGTCTACAGAACAAGTTGTGAGATATATGTGGAGGAATTTGAACACTTCACTTCTACCTGAACTTTGTGCTGATGATGGCGTTCAGAAGAGAACGATGAATACTCGACGACCAAACCATTCAGCTCAGAGAACAAAACTCCATCAAAATCATCTACCTGAGCTACAAATCTTCTCCACTGCTTCATAGCTATAACAGATTAGCTTCACCGGTCTCGGTTTCTCACTGAAACTGAGAATTACCACTAGAGTCGAGCCAGTGGCGGGCACATGATAATTATCAGTAAAGGATTGTGAAAATTGTTTAGTTTCATCGAGACTTTGAACTGATCAGTGTTAGACGACCATTTTGTCAGAGTAAAGATTGTGGAATGTTTAAATTGGTTTAAACACTAATTAATAACTGCTGTCACATGTTTTTAGTCATATAGCTAACAGTCCCAGTGATTTCACACTCCTTGTTCTACGTTCTGATGTAGTATGGTTAGGGGCAGTCGAAACTAGGTTTTATGCTAGATGAGACTCTACATTAAAACCCATCCATAGTCTTGTGTTAACAAAAGCTTCTTGTGAGATTTCAAGTCTCGCTGCCCAACTTAACATCTCGGGCCGTTACCGTATTGTTATTCGAATCACAGAAAAGATCATCTGTCGGACTCGATAATGGCATATTATATAACCTAACTAATACAATCGAGTCAACTCAATGACTGCCACTCGAATAGATAACTGTGAAACTGAATGATAAGGGTTCAAATCTCTCCATTTGGCATGAAACTTGTCCCTGAAGTTGTTTATCGACTGCTTTGAATTCATTATAAGTTTCAGCAAAGAGGCATGTTTTAAAAGGATTGTTGAACAAATCAAAAGTTTATCTTACAATACATAAACATTCTGTTGAAAAGTAACAGAACGACTAGCTACGTATAATTATTTATTAGTAGAGAGCCATATCATAACATATAAAGAAAATCTAGAGTACTTCATTTAAGTAGAAAACTTACATAAAAATTAGATATTTGAGATGTTTGATGCTGACTAAACAATCGTGAATCGATCCATTTCTGTAGATTATGAACTATTATCTGACACTAAACTAAATGATGTAGATCAGCGTTTGGTTTCCTGTAGAAGGACCCTTGATGTATTAGTTAAAGGCCTATTATTATCGCCTTCGATAAATATAAGTTATTGAATTTACATTAAAACATTGGCAAACCTACTGAATACTAACTTTTTTACTGAGTCATCAACAACTAGCGGTCTCTTTATGAATCCATAATGAAATCTGCTGTAAGTCTAGATAAAACAGGAGAATATAATCACTATGACTTAAACAAGACTTATAGTTTTCCCTTTCTATTAATCAAAGCTGTAAAATACTCACCAGTTTAAAATTATCAGCAATAATAAATAACCATCATATTTCCTCTTTCAAACACTAACCTTAATAAATCCAGTAAAGAATCCAATGTTTCAGGTCTACGTTCCTCTATTGTTCCTTCGCCTATTTCATCTTTAATTGATGTATCACCTGGATGTATGCATAAAACTAGACCAATACCAAGTATAACTGCAAGCATTGTAGTTACTACATAATAAATCAATGCATATGAGCCAATTTTTCCGCTTGATTTTGGATCTAAACCAGCAAGTCCTGAATAAAAACAAAACAAAATCACAACATTAATAATAATGTTCATCAAAACTTATGTGTTGCTTTTGTAACTTCTCTCTCTTTCGCCATATATACATATATCTTCTCTGTCTCGGTTTCAACAACTATATATTTTCAGTATGGTGTTGTGGAGATTGCTGAAATATTGATTGAGACCATGAACCGATCAGTATTAGACCACCATTGAAAACCTGGAGGCATCGGCCAGCCGTTTCGTCCTAATATGGTTGTCCGATTTCGTGAATGTGTTGAAGACATTAACACCATTGAATGCTGACTCAGTGGTCTTTAGGTTAAGCATTCTCACGTGAGACTGAAAGTCCTGAGTTCGAGCCCCAGGTGTGAGATCTTGGATGCACATTGTTGAAGAGACTTATACTAAGAAGAAACAGCTATTCAATGCTTCCACTTTTTAAATGGTGGTATAACATTGATCAACTCATTATCTTAATCAATAATTATATATATAGAAATTAGAGTATACAAAACATGTTAACTGGTGTTCCATAAAATCTGACGTTCAAAGACTTAGTTCTTTTGTTAGCTACACCAGGATGTGGTTGAAGTAGGATATTTCCTAAGGACAATTATTCTTTCTGTCAGTACTATATTCCTACAAATTGAAGGAAAATTAGGTATAAACTGCTCTAAAAATAGTACACATCATTTTGAACGAATCATATAAACAACCCTAAAATCAAATTGTGGATCTGTAGAATGGTTACAGTCGATTAGGTGTTCAAGTATAGAACTCCTGACTGCTTTCCTTTCACTCTTATAGAACTAAGCTGGGATATGTTCCCGTATCCGAGTTAAAAGCGAGCGCTGGCTACGGCCAGTGTACCTTGCTCCACAAAAGCAGGTGAACTGGTAGATGCACATAGATGTGACCAGACGCGGAAGCTTATCTTTTATGGATACAGAAAATAAGTTCCTACTAGTGAAGGTTATTTACAGTTTAACCGCGTTAAATGTTCTTCTAATCGTTGTTGCTAGACGATTTTTGATTACGTCTGATGTTCGATCACCTTTAAATTCCAGACTTATATAAAGGTTTTTCATCGGGACGGAACAACTAGATTTTTTGCCGTAACTACTTTTATTCATATTCTTCTCTATGAAACGTTCACTTTCAACTCGGATACGGGAACATATTCCAGCTTGGTTCTATAAGGGTGAAAGGAAAGCAGTCAGGAGTTCTATAATTGAACACCTAATCGACTGTGACCATTCTACAGATCCATACATCATTTTAACAACGATATCTAAGGGATGAAGAATGATCTGAAAATTCATTGATAAAAAATAAAGATCATATGTGAACGGTTTAAGGTTTTAACAGTTCAGTGGTCATATGAATATGATTCCTATAACTAAACTAACAGTTTTTAGATTCTTCAAAAATCGATAGTGGCTACCAGTGGAATCCAGTACGCGCGTTTCGTTCTATCTGGGACTCATAAGTTGGATGTACTTGATGCTCACTCTGGGACTCGAACTCAGCACTGTTCGTTTCAAACATCATCACGTTATTCACTTAACTACTGAGTTTTTTTTTCCAATTTAAACCTTCACTTAAGCTTCTATACTCATTATCAATTATTTTGTGATTAAATTAATTTGTAAATGAATTAATTTTGTACATAGTAACTAAGTGAATAGTAAAACTAACGTTACATGTTCAATGTCATTTATTCAGCTGTTGTTTTTTTCTAATGGTGTATCAATTACTTAGAGTTATATTTCTTAGAAATATGCCTTAAATAATGTAACATTTTGTATATTGATTGTTTATGTATACAAACATAGTAAGAAATAATGATGATATATGCTAGCGACTTCAATAAAAAAACAAATGGAGAACATTTTATCCCTAGATAATTGAGTTTATCTATACATTCCTATGTCTGTCAGAAGAGGTTTTGTAGAGATTTTAGAAATTTCACTGATTGAAATCATGAGTCATTTGAAGCTAGACCACCATGGAAAACCTGGAAGCACTGGATGGCCAATTCGTCCTAGTATGGGACTCCTCAGCAGTGCGCATCCTGCGAGATTCGAACCCCGGACCTATCAGTTTCGCACCAGGCGACATAGGAACAAAAATCTAGCCAATGGAAGATACAATCAAAACAAAAAAGTAAACAATAACAGGTTGAATGTCAACCATAACCAATCAATATCGAGGTCTATAGGGCAAGTTGTGAACCATATGTGGAGAAATTTGAACATTCCACTTCTACTTAAAGTTTGTACTGATGATATCGGTCAGAAGAGAACGATTAAAATTCTACAACCAAATTATCCAGCTCAGAGAACAAAAACTTCGTAAAAATCATCTACCTGAGCTACAAATCTTCTTCATTGATGATTGAGTTATCTCATGGATTAATTGGTTAATTTATCAATGATCTACTAAGTAAAAATCGATATCCATCAAATCTGCTAATCAAAAATTATGACTACGATCAGATTGAATGTGAAGTCACTGAGTGTATCGAGAAAAACTTCGTTCATGAATTTATAATCCATAGGTGTATATCTAATGAAATAATGGCATAACGCATAGCATAGCTCACACAACAAACACTTAATGCAACAAGATCATGTTATTGTTTCTTAGGTCAGTTCAAATACGACTGTTGAGACTATTATATTGGCCTTACAGCTAAAAAATATTTTATCCTAGTTCTGAGCTTCATATTTATTTGCAAAAATGGGTGGTGGCTAGCAGTGGAATCCCGGACGCGCGTTTCCTCCTATATTGGACTCGTCAGCTAGATGCACCTGCATCTTGAAGATCCTATCTAAGTGAATTTAAACTTCATCCAACTGCACAAGCAAGTGGCTACCAGGGCTCAGTAGCTAAGTGGATAACGTGACAACATCTAAAGCGAACGGTACTGGGTTCGAGTGCCAGAGTGAACATCAACTTTGAGATGCAGGTACACCCAGCTGACGAGTCCCAAACAGGATGAAACGCGCTTCCATGTATTCTACCGCTAGCCGCTATTCATCTTTGCTTATAATGCTTGTGAATTAAGGTAATATCAAGGTAATACGTACAGTATGCACGTATATTAATAAGAGACTGCAGTCGTAAACATCAATGAGAAAATTCAAACAATCAATTCTAAATGAATTCATATTTATTTGTTTGACCATGGAACAAAAGAAAATAACAGAAATTTTTGTTCGAAACCCTTCAGTTGATGCCGGTTACTTACATCAACACTAATTTAGCTTTCAGAGACATTCATAGAATTCTGTAGAAATTGTGCTAAGTTTCTAGAATCTATCTTTTACATAAAACAGAAGCGAAAGATTTACACACCAAAAAGTTTGACATTTGTGTACAGAATAGTTTATATGGACCCTTTTCTTAATATTACCTTGTCCTTCTACTTAGCAACACTTAACTTCCTCAAAAACTTCATTAATTCTTTTAGTTTTAACCACAAATTCCAGTTCTATGCAACCTTTCTATTATAGTCTGATCACCTGATTTTCCTTTGCACCCCTTTTTGATTATTATTATTACTATTATATATGATTCATATTACATATAATACTCAACACTTTTATTGAATTACTTAGTATCAGGTTTATGCAATCTGTATCCTCATTCTTACGTAAGTAGTTGTTACAACAAACCAGTTATGTCACTTTGTCTAAAGATTTAATTTCGCATTTATTAAGCTACTAATTGATTATTTTTTAGGGGGGGGGCGAAGTACGAAGATATACACCATATAATATTTGGTATTGATGTCATATCAGCGTAGAGCCACGAGGTGGAACAGACTAAAAAGAAACGTTTCTTTGCTCAACTTGTACACCTGACTGGACTAAATCACAAATAGCGAACATAGCGAAATAAAATGAATTCAGTTATTCCATGAAGTCTCGTGCTTTGCTTACAACATGGGGACGATATCAATAATTATTTACAATCAATGTACATACTTTATATTATATTAACAAACATTAGTACAATAAAGGCAAGAAATTTAGGAGAATTCTTAAATGGTAAAGTGGATAAAGATTTATGTGTTACTGAATGTGAAATGGAAGCAAACATGAAAAGGATGAATAACAACTAGGAAGAGCTGGAAGGGATTACCTAGGACAGGGTTGGATGGAGAGTGCTGGTGGGTGGCCTATGCTTCTCCACGAGGAGTAACAGGCGTAAGTAAGTAAGTAAGAATGTGAAAACCATGGAAGAAGCATTTTTTTAAACAAATGGGGACTTGTCTTGAATGAATGGAAATCAACACCAAGATTTGTAATAACAGCTATAAAAGTAAGTAAATTAATAGACCATGGTTAGTAAAGCTCAAGCATGACGCGATAACCTAAGAAAGGAATTTGTTATTGAGAATTTGAAATAAGATTATATGTAATTGAACAATAAAAAGTAGAGATTACCATGTTGTGGATAGTACTATTGTAATGAACGAGAACACAGGTAGGGACTGTACGTTCAATACTTCATTTGCGAATCCTTCAACGAATATCTCACAATTCATCGTTACTTTATTACCATAACAATTATTCTCTGTTCCCGTTCTCTTCCCAACCTTCTACTGCCAGACATTCCACTTCTGGCTGGTGTTATATACTATTTATAACAACATAAGTAGCATATATCACACTATATCAAGCCCACATAGGTTATTCCAGCTTCTGGATAGACCAATTTATCCATTCTTCTTAAGTCACATTTCGAAATTGTCAATTATTCGTTTATTAATCCTGACTATTTTTGTATGATCGTATCTCTTAATTGTTCACTCTATTGATTATGTGTCTGTAACTTATTTTTGTCTGAATATAAATATCGAGTCACGCCTGAATAAATCGAGTTGACTCATTAACCTTCGATGAGAGTCACTTTGTTTCGTTTCGCTTCGCTTCCTTCACTTTGTTTCTCTGATTGTCTGTGTGGATAAATGAATGTATGAAATATACGTATTCTACTATTCTCTAACGCGAATTAAGTCGATAGTTATATACACGGATTGGCGGTATATACATTTCAATAACAATCATCATATGATATACCTGGAGTCAAATACTGAGCCACTAAGACCGGGCTGTTAAGAAATCTACAACTCTATCGTTTTGGATCTGTTTGTGTTGTTTCACTTTTTTTATTGCTATGGCCATGGTATAACCCAAGAAATTCAAAGTTTTTTAAAGGTATTGATTATTTTGAACGACTTTAAAACATCAGTTTTGTGTTTACTATCAAATAGATGATAAGTGATAGCATTATTGAAAATACACTGACCATTATGGAATATTTTGGTGGAGTTTTGTTCTCTGAACTAGATGGTTTGGTCGTGGAGCTTTCATCGTTCAGAAGAAGCTCAGAGAACAAAACTCTACTAAAATCACTCATCTGAGCTATAAATCTTCTCCACCATCTCATTATGGAATATGCTTCAAAATGAATGGAAATCCCTATTTTATGTTATGTCAGTCAGCTACATCATAGGACCAGGCACATATATGTATCGATCCAAGTTGCCATACCTCATTAACACAACGAGATAAACATCGAATTCATAGAAGTAGTTACTTCGATAGTGGTAATATATAAAAGAAAGATTGTGTATAAGGATATAATACAAGAAGAAAGAATTAGTTGGTGGAAAGAAAGATGTGAAGCAATTTTAATCTCTTAGTTTAAGAGAAGACAAAGAGTATATACATCGACGCCATTGTGATCGATTCTGAGCCATGTCACCAAGAGTTTCCAACTATTGGTTAAAAGAGTCACTCGGACCCCAACCAAGTAGTCTGCATCTCCCAACATGGCTTTTATGACTGTAAGTGATTTAGTACGAACATATAAACCGGTAAATACAGTTGAAGATAACATAAAGTGGGAATTTGTTAACTTTTATATATCTCTGTGGCTAATTTGTTTGTTTTAATGAAATTAGTAATAAAGAGACTAGATATGTCCATTGATATAATCAAGCACTATTCATATCTATTCATATATTCAATGATCACTTTCTTTCTGTTCCGTTAATTAACCAATCAAATTAGAGAAAAATAGTTTACATTATATAAATCTGTAATATTCTATCATCATTGAATAGATTTCAATTCTGTCCGATACAATTCATAACATTGGGAACATACATATGACACATACAAACACACATAATCAATGATAATCAGCAGATAGTTCTGATTTGATTGTATCATTTTAGTTCCGAAAAAAAACCCAAAAAATAATCAACTTTAAAGATGATCAACAGTTAAAAAGAACAGAAAAAATAGCACAAAATATGCACTAATTCAAATGTTTTAATCTCTTAGTCTTTTAAATGTAACAAAGAAATATGATCTAATAAAAAGAATGGATTGTTACGTAATAATTAAAGGGTTCATTTATGCTATTTCGCATTGATTTTTATACATTATCATTCAATATATTTAGGCTTTTCAATGGTTAAGTTCATGAGTCATTTCAAGCTAGATCACCATGGAAAACCTGGGAGCACTGGACGGCCGTTTCGTCCTATTGTGGGACTCTTCAACAGTAAGCATCCACGACCTCGCCCCATGCGAGATTCAAAGTCAGGACCTACTGGTTTCGCGCGCAAGCACTTAGCCACTAGACTACTGAGCTGGCATCAAACGATGTTAATGTCTAACTTCAACTATTCCACGAAATTGAGCGACGCATTCATCATTGTCATCAGTGAATTACTATCTCGCAATAGACCCCATTGAACTCCACTGGCCACTACATCTCACTAGAACTCACTAGAACTGAGGAGTCCCACAGTAGGACGAAACGGCCACTCAGCGCTTCCAGGTTTTCTATGATGGTCTAGCTTCAACTGACTCATGATCTTAACTATTGAAATTACTATGATATCCACAAAACCCATCTCATATTAAAGCTTGTTGATCAAAGTATTCTTCATACTGATAATCATAATTTTACTTATGACATTAGTGATTTCGTACTTGTAATTCCGAAATATTTCTATCAAAGTAATTTTCGGGGGGGGGAGATGTTATGACATCATTTTCTTAATGATATAGACATTCAATGATTTTCATTTTCAGAGTCAATCAATTCACTCTTATAAGCAATCGTCAAACGTTATCATAAGTACTAAATATCTGAAATCCTATTTAGCTCGATTGATCACTGTATATCACCAGAATTCATGAATTATTCTAGATGTTAATCACCATCATTCATATAATAATAATAATAGTTGTAATAATAATGAGAATGTGAACGATCTCCATTTTGGGATAAATCATATCCCTCTGTATTAACAACTGAACATTAGATCTCCTAGCAGTTTACTACAGTCAATCTCGAATGAATTGATAATCCTTGTTAGTTTCCAACTAGTGTTTCTCAGTATAAAACTCAAATAATTTAACAGACAGTCGTTTAATAAATAAATCTTCTTACTGCTTTCAATGACCTAATAATTAAACATATTACATATTTTAATTTTATAGTTGAATTCATGAGTCGATTGGAGCTAGACCACCATGGAAAACCTGGAAGCACTGGTCGGCCGTTTCGTCTTGGTATGGGACTCCTCAATAGTACGTATCCACGGTTCCGCTTCGCGAGATTTGAACTAAGGACCTATCGGTCTCGCGTGCGAATGCTTAACCTCTAGACTACTGAGCCAGCATCCAAAAGTGTTAATGTCTAACTTCAACCAATTCACCATACTGCTCCACCGTCCATCATTGTTATCAGTGAATTACTATCTCACAACAGACCCGGTTGAACTCTAATGGTCACGGCTTCTCACTAGAACTTCAGGAAATACTTCTTTAAACCAGCCACTATTGAGCGCATGGGCACCTGGGTTCGCATCTTGCGGACGAGACCGTGGATGAACTCTGTTATGGAGTCCCACACTAGGACGAGACGAACATCCAGTGCTTCCAGGTTTTCCATGGTAGTCAAGCTTCAGTTGACTCATGAATTCAACTATTAAAACTACTATAATAACCACAAAACTCCTCTCTAATATTACATATTGTCAGCTTTCAGTTGGTGTTATAATTAAGATTTTAATGTTTTACATTCAATAATCAAACATTTTATTTAATTGTACAACCGAAACAAAATATTCATCTCTTATCTTTCACTATAATGATCGTTTTATTCAACTGTCTTTGTTAAACTTATTAGTTAATGTTTATGAGGAAAGAAACTAGTTTCATTTATTCTACTCTCATTCATTATTGTATAACATAAGGGAAGTAGATGTCTTGTTATATCTCTAAGTACCTTGAAAGTAACATATGAATTATAAAAATTTACTATGTATACAAATCCCTAATATTGATAATAATCATCATATGCTCACTACTGACTAGATTCATGATGAATTCTAGTGAGGAGCTGTGGCTAATGAAATTCATTCTGAGTTGGATGGAGATAGTTATCCAAGTCAGACAATGGATGAAGTGTTGCACAAGATCATGAATTGATTGAAGTCAGATATTAATAACGTTGGATACCGACTCAGTGGTCTACAGGTTAAGCATTCACGCATGAGACCAAAGGTTCCGGGTTTGAGTCCCACATGTGAGATCATAGATACGCACCGTTGGTTATCTAGTGCTTTTAAGTTTTCAAAAGTGGTTTAGCCTAGACTGACTCATGAATTCAACTTTGAAGATTATCAAAGTGTTATCAATACTATCACTAAAATTTTAAATCATTCCTTTTGATGATACTGATATTTCTTTTGACGAACTAATTCTTTCTTCCAGTATTATGTCCTTATATGCAATCTTTCTTTTATATATTACCACCTCTGAATTAACTACTTCCAGGAATCCGGTGTTCATCTTTTGTGCTAATGAAGTATGGCATCTTGAACCAATGCCTATAGGTTCTTAGTCCTGCGTTGTAGCTGACTGACTGATTTATATCTCTGACATGAGATAAACTATATATTTAATAATGTAAGATAAAGATTATGCAGTAAAATTGTTTAGTGTGTGTGTAGTTATTTGATTTGATAATTTATTTCAAGCATTACCATTAACTAATAAAACATTATAATTCAGGGGATGTTTGAAAATACTTTCATCACAACAAAGTTCTAGAACAACTTAAGTTGTTTTACTCTCAAGTGTATAACATTCAATGTCGACATGTATATTTCATCATGTTATATTCGTAATTCTTGATATCGGATGTTAAAAATTACACTTTACTGACAAGTTCCAAGTAGCACGAAATCTAGGTCCAATGTTTCTTGTCAACTACCTCCAACCATTATCTCATCTTAACATAGTACACTCAATGTCGAGTCACCTAGACTACTGGACTTGTTATAATTTGGTCGATAGGATTCAATCTACACAAAGAAGGATCTGACATACATGACATTGATCACCACCTAGTGATCAATCAATTGTAAATACATCTCAGTACTACAGGAGATCAGCCGCCGCCCGAATAGCTCAGTGGTAACGTCTTTGAAGCTAACTGACACGGGATCGAATCCGTCAGAGAGCATCAGTTCCCTCAAGATTACAGGTACACTTTGCTGATGTGTGCCAAATAGCACGAAACCTAGGTCTAGAATTTCTTCTTGACCACCTCCGACCACTATCCTATCTCCACATAATACACTCAATGTCAAATTACCTAGACTAGTGGCCACATTGCAATTTGATCGATAAGATTCGATCTACACTAAGAAGGATCTGACATACATGACAATGATCACCACCCAATGATATTCACAATTATTCTGTTTAAATAATATAGTATAGGTATAGAAGAAAAAACAAATTTATACAATAAACAATATTACATAGATTAGTATATATAGATAGATAGATAGGATTACTAACCTGCTATTAAACTAGATACAATCAATGGTATAATTAACATTTTCAACATATTCATTAATAATTCACCAGGAAATGATAAAAGATAGATTGTTCTTGGTGATGGTGATGCATAAATTTTAACTAATAAACCAATTGTCATACCCAATATAACAGCTAATACAGTGAATGTAACAAATAAATTATCTAAATTCATTATCCATTTCTTAACCTTAATAAAAAAACGCAAAGAAAAACACAAAAAGATAAGGAAATTTGTTTGAAATTGAATTTCAATAATAGAATATAGGATGTTAAAATGTAGGTGAAGTTTAATGTGAATGTTTATGGTGAAATGTGGAATTCAATACGTCAGTCAGTTCATCTTGAGTGCTGTTAAAGGTACGAGGGTGGCGGTTATCACTTTCCGGTTGCCCGAAAATGTGTAACGATTCTTCTAGAAGTAATTGAAAAGGAAATTGGATTAGAGGTGGTCTTAGTGACCCGAAAGCGTGCCCAAGGGACAACTGCTTGAGGTCGGTCACCAAATGACCTTTTTCTGGGTGATTTTCGTTTTAACTACGTACTTGTTGAGACCTTACCGCTGGCGACGAATATCTGTGGGATAAGGTGAGGTGTGTATTGTTAGGGTGCACATTTTCTAACCACACCATTCCTTTTGAGAAGACGGCATCCCTCTTATGCTGGTTGTCTGAAGGAAACGCCTTACTGCCATCTCACCTATGAACAGTCGGCAGTTCGACTTTGCCCTCAGAAACTGGGTTTTCTGCTTTTAGTCTTACCGCTCTTCAACCGACCTGTCTGACATGGTAGGACCTTGAGGAACGATTGTTCCAGCCAGTATAACTCGATTGGTTTATCACAATAGGCAAGCCCGGCTATCACCATATCAAGGTAGCCCCAATATAATATACACTGAACTACAAAGTTCAAATAGCTAATAGCTTACGCAACAAGTGCGATTCTGAGTGTGCAAAAACCTGGTTGAAGCGCCGGACATTGTCGTTTCTTGTTGTCAATTTCGTAAAGAACACCGCTTTGTCGAGAAGGTAGTGAGTAGGAATTCTATGGTAGTGGCTATGTACGAGTGTTCATGTGAGATCATTTGGAGAGTAAGAGCAGACTCTCCACACTCTCAGCCGTACCAGGACATTAGTCATTATCTATATTTGTTTTTAAATTCCATATAGAATTCAACGATATTGTATGTATCTTTTAGTTTCCTAGACATCTACAACGAATACTACAAATCTATACGGATTATATCAGCTATGTAGAAGTCGTTTAGAGTAAAAACTCAAATAAACCACTTTTTGCTCAGATAGTTCGACATCTGATCACATTATAAAAGCTAACAGGTGACATATTACCTCAATTCAGTAGATTCTATTTATAAGCATCAATAAACTGTAATAGAATTATTTCCAAGTAATAAATCCCTTTTTATAACTAAATAATATCATATTCACTTGATATTGTTTTACTTGTATCTTCCTACGAATGTTTAGCATTGCAATTGTGATTAGTCACTTATTGGCATATGTACATACTGTGCGTATCCAGGATGCGCGTTTTATCATCACTAGATAAGTGTATAATGCAATAGCATTTGAAGCGAACAGTACTAGGTTCGAGTCCCAAAGTGAATATCAACTCTGGTATGAAGGTAAATCCAGCTGACGAGTATTAAATCAAATGAAACTCACTACTGGAATTCTACAACTAACCACTATTCATCTATACTTATAACTAATATCATATTATTAAAATAGGCATTTATAGAGATTGTAATAATTTTCACAATTGAATTCATTAGTCGATCTAAATTGAGATTATCATTGATAATCTGAAAGTACAAGACCACTATTTCATTCTAGTATCATATTCAACTGTTAATATTCTATTGTTCTAACATTTTTACAACTTCCTATTAGATTCAATCTTATCAGAAGATTAAAAAGAAAAAAAGAAATGAGAAGAAACATGAAATGAAAGTAAACGTATTGAATGAAATGTATTATGTTATGAATTATTTGTGCAATTATTACACAAGTTTCTATTTGAATGAATGTTACATTCAGTTCATTGATTTCCGGAGGTTAGAATGATCTTCATTACCTTAAACTAAGAATCTATTTTCAATCCTATACAATAGTATATGTCAATAGTTGAGATCATGGGTCATTTGAAGCTAGACCACCATGAAAAACCTGGAAGCACTGGATGGCCGTTTCGTCCTATTGTGGGACTCCTCAGCAGTGCGCATCCACGACCATGGTGGTCTAGCCTTAGTTGACTCATGATCTCAACTATTGAAATTATTACAATTTCCACAAAACCCCTTCTGATGATAGCATATGTGTTAAATAATAAGTCTATAAACAGTTGATATGATTTTTTTCCTATGCACTCAGAAAAAACTTGTTAACTCCTCCTAGAACCCCTCAGAGGCTATTGCCGGTCTCATGTCCTGAGGAAGGAAGAGGGTTAGGCATGGGGGTTAGAGACCTTATCTTGTAGAAAACTAATTCGCTAGAAAACACATGCTTAACAGAAAAAATAATTCAAACGTTTTAAACTTTGCCCTGGGAGTTAGAAGGTCTCAGAAAAAAACTTGTTAGAAATGGCTATATTAACGTATTCTATTCAGGATGCCATTAACGCCAACAATTCAGTCATAAATATCAGGAACAATATAGTATAAACTTTTACTTGTGATTATATGTGTATATCATATTCATTGAACACGTTAATAGTCATCTAAATTCACTAGCTTAGCCAATAATGCATTAACTATATAGAGTTTTATGGAGATTTTAGAATCTTCACAGCCTAATCCATGAGTCAATCTAAACTAGACCACCATTGAAAGCCAGGAAGTACGAGACTGTTGTTCCATCTCCAGTAATACGAGTCCACAATTCCACTACAACAGATTCAATACAGTACTTAACCTTTAAATCAATAAGCTGTCGATGCTTCAATTAATTCATGATCTTACAGAAACATCTTCCATTTCATTGCTGACAAGTTCCATACTAGAACTAAGCAGCTGTCCAGTGTTTTCTGGTTTTCAATAGTTATCTAACTAAAACCAATTCATGATTTAAAATACATTTTCCACCTCCCTCCTCATCTTTTAAATTTGTTTATCATATTCAGATTGGACACATATTCATTTCCAATCTTGAAAAGCATATGAGAAACTACCATAGGTTGACAAAAAGATCATTTTGTTGTTTGTAAACAAACTCTCTTTCCTCATTCTCTTTGTTTAGATTAATTCTCTTCATTTAATTGAATGATTTATCTTTGTATGTCAAATTTAAGAGAACAATACAGTTCAAACCTTTATTTATTGTCTTCTTTCTTCCTATACTACTTTAATTAATTGATTAGTTTCGATTAGATATTCCTTTGTTTTTTTTTTGACGTTTATTTTATTCATATCAGAAGGGGTTTTGTGAATATTATAGTAATTTTCATAGTTGAATTCATGAGTCAATTGAGGCTAGATCACCATGGAAAACCTGGAAACATTGGATGGCCACTTCGTCCTATTGTGAGACTCCTCATCAGTGAGGATCTAAGACACCGCCCCCCCCCCGAGATTCAAACTCAGAAGCTGTCAGTCTCACAGGTAAGCGCTTGACCACAAGATCACTGAGCCGGTCGACATCCAACGGTGTTAATGTCTAACTTCAACCAATCTAAGAAATTGAGCAACACATCCACCATTGTCTTCAGTGAATTACTATCTCACAACAGACCTGGTTGAACTCAACTGATCACGGCTTCTCACTAGAACTCCAGGATATACCTCTTGAAACCAGTCACTAGTGAGCATAGGTTGATTAGTTTCAGAAGGGCTTTTGTGGATATTATAGTAATTTCAATGGTTAAGATCATGAATCAATTGCACCTTTATTTTATTCATTGATATTATTGGAGAGAAAATGTTTTCTTGAAATACTGGAGAATGAATATTAAACTGATTTCTCCATTCACTAAACGATATCCTAATGATTATAATAAGTAACTTCCTATTAGAAGGTTATTTAGCTTGAATCCTAGTCTACTTTGATTAGTTAGTTTTGGCAATCTAACAATAGTATAATTAACAATTTTATAATCTATGTGTTTCAATCTCGATCAAATAAAGTTAAACATGATCAAATGAATTACATTTATATAACTAGTTACCAAACGTGTAATAGTTTTTCATCATGAACTGAAGTTAGTTAGACAACCAAGTGGTATGACTTCATTGTTTAGTACTAATATAGGATACCTTAACAAGACTGCGTCCATAAACATATCAAGATCATTTTTAGTTATGAGCATGAAAGCTTAATCTCTGAATCAATAAGCTTTCATCCAATCAGTTGTATATCGGACTAATTAGTTTCATATCTTAAGCATATTGATAGATAGTTAGCTTATCAATCGAATCTATTTTCATTTTATTCTCTGTATCCTCCTCATGTGTAGATTTTTTGTTGATCTATAGTGTTTATTAGATGAAAACTAGTCTTATTATTATTATCACATTAAAATTGTTACTATCCTCAATATACTACCAATTTGAGTTAATTAGATTACTTGAAAAAGTTGAGAAAGTTTTTTAACCATTAAAAACTGATTCCCTCCCCCCCCCTCACCATCTGGTTCTTGTTGGTGTTTTTTTCTTTTTTTTTTCTTTTCGTTCAATGAAAGAAAGAAAAAACAAACTCCAAAAAAGATCTCAATTTATTCATTGACATATTTACATGAATTTCATTTCCTAATTTGATTATAGAATAAGAATAATCATGTAAATAGTGTAAAAGATATTCATTCTTTATTAATTTGATCAATTATAGTGATTAACTTAACTTAAGAGTAGTTTTGTAAGCAATGGTAGATAGTGGCTAGCAGTGGAATCCAGGACGCGTGTTTCGTCCCAGGTGGGACTCGTCAGCTGGGTGTACCTGCATCTCAGAGTTGACGTTCACTCCATCACTCGAACCCAGTACCATTCACTTCAAATGCCATCGCGTTATCCACTTAGCTACTGAGTCATGATAGCCACTTGCTTGTGCAATGGGGTGAATTTGAATTCACTTGGCATTGTTTGGCTTGTATCTTCTCATTGAGTTTTCTTAAGACTGTGATTGATCATTCTGTTATCAGGACTCAGTAGATGAGTGGATAACGCGATGGTGTTTGAAG